ACTCTTGTAGGACACTCTTGTGGGACACTCTTATAGGACACTCTTGTGGGACACTCTTCTGGGACACTCTTGTGGCTGTGGGACACTCTTGTAGGACACTCTTGTGGGACACTCTTGTGGCACACTAGAAGCAGTCCTGCGAGCGTTTCGTACGAGACGTCCTCCAAAAGTCACGCTTCGAGGCTGCACAAGACGAGCGTTTCGCGCGAGACTTTCTCCAAGAGTCACGCGTCAAGTCTCCAAAACGAGCGCTTCGTCCGAGACTTCCTCCAAAAGTCACACGTCAAGTTTCCAAAACGAGCGTTCCGTACGAGACTTCCTCCAAAAGTCACGTGTCAAGTCTCCAAAACGAGCGTTTCGTACGAGACTTCCTCCAAAACTCACATGTCAAAGTCTGCAAAACGAGGATTTCGTACGAGACTTCCTCCAAAAGTCAAGCGGAAACACCCATCGGAGCACACACATCACGCAGCCCTGCCAAGCAATTTCGCGAGTCCAGCCCCTCCAAACAATACCCCCTCACACGCCAATCCCAATGTGACAGCGACATTCACCTCTACCACAACTCACGACCTCACGATTCCCTGCGCCTGCCACGAATCTTTCCGCATCCACGCGTCTAACGCGCACAAAGTACTGCGCCTGCCACGAAATGTCACCTCCGTCACACCTCGCAACCTCACGATTTCCTGCGCCTGCCACGAAAATCGCACTTCCACACCTCAAAATCAGCCCAACAAATGTGCCTGCCACGAAAAGTGAGAATATCATCTCACGTGAGCTTCAACAAAATTTGCACCACACCACACGTTTAGAATGATTTCGACCCGTTCTGAGCACACTCCCATCCACCAAAATCGCCATTTCAGCTGAGACTTGTCACGAAAACAGAGCTTCGATGCCACACCCTGAAACGCAAATCCCAATGGCACGGCCACATCCAACACCCCAAAAACACGACTCTCCAAACGCTAATCCCAATGGAACTGCGCAGTAAACTGCGGATCTCTCAAACCACTGCGCCTGTGCAGCGAAATGCATCACGCTTCTTGCGCGACATGTCATTTTCATGCAAATCACAATGGAATAGCGTCGCAAACTGACACGTGACACATCCATGAAAAGTCACTTGCAAAAGCTTCCCCCAATGGCAGCGCCTTAGCGTCCTACTGCGAACGGTTGCGGACGGTTGCGAACGGTTGCGAACGGTTGCGGACGGTTGCGGACGGTTGCGGACGGTTGCGAACATAGAAACAACGGATCGCGAACAAGACTCTACCCCCAGACCCCCAGAGTTAAACGAGAACCCTTCGCTACGCATTCGGGAAAACACCAGCAGCTTCACCGAGCGAACGCAGAACTTTGACGGTCCAATGCAGAAATTTGAGTATGTGGCTGATCAGAGCTGGATTCTCTGCTTTTCGCAACTTTGCAAAGATCACATTTTCAGCCATTGCCCACTGCGGTTGATGAGCAAAACCCGCATGCTGCGCCAAGCGAGCTCTTGTTTTGTTGATGTGTCTCCTTTGTGGTGTCATTGTTCACTATCACCACAGCATGAAAGTCCATCCGTCTACCCAAACATGTCTGCCCCACCCCGGACCCGCACCTGTGCCGATGCGACGGTGCTAGCTCGGCCTGGAGGCAGGACGACTGGACGGTCCGAATGGGGACGGGGATGGACCTCTATCGCTTTTGAGGAGTTATCTGATCTGACGCCCACACCCACCAAATCAAACTCAACACATCTCAAAACCATACCAGGAGGAGTTCGGCTGAATCGCCCTGAGGCCGTTTTGGACCACGGCTCGCATTTGCTGTGGATCGTTCTACGTGCCGGTGATGGATCGGATGAGTGCATCAGTTCCGACTGAGCACGGAAAGGCCAGGGTGGGTGCTGACTTGGTCTTGTTTCCAAGAGGAGAGGAACCGGTAAGGTTGCGAAGTTGCGAGTGTGCGAATACTGGCTTGATGGTGCTTTGAAACGACAATAGGTTCAAAAGAACACCTTGTTCAAGACTGTGCAGAGAGCTTGCAAGCGCAAAGCAACATCTACGATTTAGCGGACCGTAGTACAACACTGCTTCATTGCTCTCTGACCCGAGACATTGAACCTCACTTAATAAGCCCGGCACAGACCACATTCATGCGAGACTTTTGTTGGTACATAGAACAAATGCTACTAGTAACAAGTGCATCGCTACTAGTAACAAGTGCCTTACTAGTAGTAACAATGTTTGCTATTAGAAACAATAAATATACTTTAATTAATAAGCTACTTTTGTTGGCACAGTACTGTATCTGCCTGAGAGATCAGCTACAACGGTTGGCCTGTGAGTACTCTAAGCCTTTGGCCTCATGATGCCTCATGCACGCTGGCGTACTGATTGGGACTGGGACTGACTGACTGCATGATCTGCAAAGGGATACTTTACGGTTTAATTCTTGGGAGGATGCGGGTCAAGCAATTGGATCCCCAAACTTGCCCAAACCCTATGTCGACCTACCTCGGAAACCTCAACTTCCAAACCTACAGTCAGAAAGGCTCTCTTTCCTTCTCTCTACCTATGGGAAACGTCTGCCTCAACAGCCTTTTGCAAGTTGGCAACTTCAGGTGTGCAATGAAATGACCAAACCATACCAAACCTCTCTTGTTGAATCAGGCACTGGGATCAAACAAAACTACATAGGCAGAGACTAGCGGAGACATTGTTGTCGGTGTTCAAGCGCCTTTCATGGCTTATCATCCAGTTTTATCAATTCCTATTCTGCCACTAGAGACGATGCGGCGTCTTCATAAACTCATCCGGCCCCCTAGGACACTGCAAGTCCTTCCGTTCCTGAATCGGTGAGCACCAATTTCTTAATATGGATGTGATTCTTAACCTTTGAGACCCCACGCCACAGCCCTTGAGACGGCGGAGATTGCTCCGCCGGACTCCGGCGGTTGTATTTTGTGAGAAACCGTTGAACCTCGGAGAGCTTGATTTCTACGCACGTGGTGCCAGGCGCCACTTGGGACCGAGCTTCAGCCAGGTTTGGGGACACACCCAAACCACTGATTGAAGCAAAAGCCACGCAGTTGGCAGGGCACCGTGCATTTGAGAGGCAAAGCTGCCAAAAGTCCCTTGACTCTGCAAGGGGCAATTACGGTCCCTTCGAATGCTCCTTGGGGCAAAAGGGTGGCGAAGACGGCTCCAGACCGGAGCCGCCGGTCCAAGATCACTTGGCACCGAACAGCAGCAACTTCTGGTATGGCGCCATCTCGAACAAATGAACTCCCAGCTGTCTTCACAGGAGCTGGTTTCCATCCCGACGACCGACTGTTTCCAAGCACGGCAGTGTTCACCTTGGTTCCGAGACCCACATGGAACCTGAGTTCACCACGCCCTTTTTGGTATTCAGAACATCGTTTTCCAGTCGAGTCTGGTCCATATATTCAGGTTCCATGTGTGTTTTTCTCTTCCCGGATTCAAGGGTGTACACGAAAAACACATGAGTGATTCTCCATGATTCTCATCGATCTGGGTGATCTGGGCTCGTGACCCCGAGCCATGCACCATCTGGTGCTTTCGATGCATCCGGAGTGAGCAACCACGGAGGCGGCCAAACCAGTCGACGTCCTAACGCGCTTGCGCTCGATGACGACTCTATAATATGTAGCCTTTACTCGAAAAAGCCGTGCTTTGCTTTCGCATCGTTCGCTGGACGGCCACCGCTGCGACCAAACACCGCACCACGCGACGCGATGCCGCGACTCGCCGCTGCGACGTTTGAGTCCCCACGAGTCCATCGAGTCGCCTGCAAAGTGTGGTGAGCCTCCTGGGCTTCTCCTGGGGTGCGGGTGGCAGCGGATCTGGTAGTGGGTCAGTCTATCCGACCAGGGCACAGGGGATGATGATCCTTAGGTTGCAGGCCTTTCCATCCATCTCTAGAATCGTGATGTTCTTGTTTACTGACTGTTGCAGGTCATAGGACCGACCCAAGGGATATTCATGAACATTACGATAATCTAAATACTAACACGGAACCTGAGAATTGACCGGTGGAAGGCCATTATCTGAATACCAACCCAGTGGTTTTGGGGTTCCACGTTGATTTGCGGAGTACCAGTTTCTTTTGCTGCCCCATAGATCGTTCTTTTTATCAACCAACCAAGGGCGTAGGTCAGGCCATCTGCTCTGGCCTGGGGCAGTGAGCCCTCAACCAAAGCAGACTTGGAGGTCGTCAGAATGTCGTACTATGATGTACTATGCTTGATCGGAAAAACATCTTTAAATACGTGTATTTAGCCAGCTTCAACCAACAAGCATGTGCCCACCCCAACTCCGCAGACTGAATAGGAATGCGCAAACACGACAGCCCTAAGGGCAACCGGCCTGCAAGAACAACATCCTATACATCTACATAGCCAATGCCAGTATACTCTGCAAAGAGGATCCAAAATCAACACCCTCTTAAAATCAAGAATGCACTCAATAAAACTAATACCAAATATGGTGCTGGTGAACAATCACTTCTCAATATCAAGGTACATTTCGGATTATTTTCACTGAGATCCCAGCAGCCGGCCCCTTAAACCGCATGGTTGTTTAGTACTATCTTTCTTGCTCAGCGGCTACGGACGACTGCCCAGGTAAAATTCACTTAGCCTATGGAAGTTCAAACCTGATCTTGTTGTCTCCGAAAGTTCTCTCTCTCTCTCTCTCCCGGAACCGGTTGGCGCCCAGCACTCCTGGGTGCCCAGGAAAGCGTGGGGAGGTCCAAACTTTGACTACTCGGCGCTGGGTACCACAGCTCCATGGCGTGGCGAACGCAGGCAAACGCGGCGAGGGGATGCTGCCAAATCCAAAACGAGTCCAACCGTTGAAGCCGCTGTGCGGTATACAAGCGACCTATGGGCGACCTATTGTCTGCCACGTGGGAAAGATGGAAAAGCCATAATCTATCTATCGGCTACACGGGGTCATATATGTTCTTCAACAATGCGTTTGTAGTGCGACTGTTTGTATGCGTTTGTAGTGTTTGCAGGTCTACTATATTAAGACCCGGATCCACCAGGCTCCCGGCGGCTTCCCCACCCAAACCCTGCCGTGGCCGTTTTGGCCTCGACCTCGAGCCGAGCGGCGTCGAGCCGGGCTTTCCTGGTTTTCGTTTGGTGACCCTTGTTACCACCTGTGAGGGGTCATGAAGGCTCCTGGTATGTTTATTCAAACAACTTGTGACTATGTATATATAATATATATATATATGTATATTACATAATATAATGTCGTATTATGTATACGCTGTTTGTGTTTGTGTGTGTGTGTGTTCAGCTGTCCATTCATTTTGGGATCAAGCAGTCCCAAACTGCCAAGCCCCATGGCATCTAGAAATATCGAATCTAAGATTCTGTACAGTAGCCATGGCATGCCATGGCCAAGAGAATCAGTCGCATCCAACGGCCAAAGCATTGGATGAACATCCTCTTGATCAAAGGCTCTGTCAAACGGCGTCCCTCACGGACCCTTTCACTCTTGGGTATAGCAAAGAACATCGGATGCATATCGGAGAAATATGGTGGAACCTATTTCTTTCTACAGTGATCACCGAATCTAAACTTGCCTCTCTCTATGAGTAGCCTTTAGACCAGTGGTGTTTCTGAAAATGGTGGTGTGTTTCAAGGCTCACGCATATATGCAGAGTATAGAAATATGTGTATATATATATTATATATACCCTAGAAGTCGAACACACCTTTTTTTGTAGCCTTCACCGAACAACCATTATTTTACGAAGGACCTTCCACTACAAAACCAGATCAACCATGTAAAAAAACTCTTGGACTTGCAGGTATATATTCCAGTTGGAGTCTCTTCGGGAGATTGGTGTAGCAACTGGGAAACCGGCATGTGAGATAAGTACACCTCACACCGGTTCTGTTCCCAAGACTTCCACCAAATCTTCCCCTCACACTGCCGCACCCGTGTGCTTTGGCACCTTCAAACCGGCAGCCCGTCTCGCCCTTTCTCCACCTTTGAGGTGCGCAGGGAGTCACTCGCCGGAAAACGCACCCGACACTTTCTCAGGCAGCATCTGCGGCTTTGACAATTGCTACCATGTCCCTCATGAAGGTCACTGACTCCACCTCTGCGGACACGGGGCAGTCCCCCGGTGGACACCGGTGGAAGGTTCACCCGGTGGAACACCGAACACGTTCCGGAGAGTATGGAGGGGTTAATAGGGTCTACTGCGGACCCACCGTTGGGGCGAATGGACACCCCCAAAGGACTTCTTTCCGGGGGCTATTGACATCAATGGGGGACCGGTACAGTGCTTACTTTGGAGTCACCGGATTCCGGATGTCCTTTTTTTCTTCACCAAGCATCAAAACATGAAGAACAAAACCCAGCAAACCCAAACAAGACCCTTGACACATCTCGACACCATGTTTCTCAGCCAAAAAATTCAAAATTCAAAACAATTCCAGGACCTAACCGTCACGACCCGCCCATGTCGCTTGTCATCCGCACTCATTCCACCTATCCATTGGGAACCGCCGTCACTCGGAACCTGCATGGCACGCACCGCCGGGTCCCTCGCGCCTTGTGTCGCCAGTCCTGAGGGCCGGGTTGTGCACCCGGCATGTCGTCAGTGATCTGCCATGGACGAATTTGGATGGCGCCCAGGAAATCTACTGACTTACCTAGGGACGAAAAAACATTATAGCTGTATATGGAACTGACGGTCGGTGGGGTTGTTTTTGGTCGGAGTGATTATATATATATATTATGAATTTGAACATCAAACAAAATATATAAATAAATCCCCCGTGATTGTTCATAAGCGCGCTGATTTTGCATTTTATAAACTTTGTGGGTTTATAAAATGTGTGGGATAGTTTTTTTTGTTTATACAATGAAAACCAACTAGTTTATAAAATGACCAGCACAGGTTGTGATAGGTTAGGATAGAAGTCGACATCCAGGAAGAAACACTTTATAAAATGCGAATTGCTCATCGGAAATGTCAGTAAAAAACCAAATCCGGATACTTCATAAAATGAAAGTTCGTCATGTCAAGATCTCAAGATTCTGAAATACTTATTCTTGAGTAATGATTCAGATTCTGAATTTTCAGATTCTGATTGTTTTTGTCAATAATCAACAACTAAATTTGAACCCACTTTTCAGAACTCTTCAAACCTCAAGGAAAGACAGGAACTGAAGGAATATGACCAGGAAAATAACTAAGAATTAAAAATTAACTAGCTACTTTTTCTACACTTTTTCTCCTCTCCCCCTGTCTCTGTGTCTCTTCCCTTTAAGGGGGGAGAGCGGTGTGCGGCCGAACGGTCCGAAGTTTGAGACCGACTCCCGTCGGATCATCCGTCGGTATTCCAACCTGTTCGCCTCCCTGTGCCTGGTCTCCCCCTGGTGGCGAGAAGTCCCCGGTGGAGCCGATCCGACGGGGGTTATTCTTAACTTTTAGTTATTTTCCTGGTCATATTCCTTCAGTTCCTGTCTTTCCTTGAGGTTTGAAGAGTTTTGAGGCCATTTCTGAAAATTTAGGTTTTTTAAAAACATATGAAAAATCAATAATTACCTTTTTAGACTGTCCAGAACATGATCTTTATAAAATTAGAAATCATGTTCTGACCATCCTCTGACAACTCGACAAGTGAATGTTTATAAAATGAAATTACGGGGTTCACCTGCCCTCTATGACTGTCATTCAGTGTCCGAGTTAGTAAAGTTTATAAAATGACGATACTCCAGATCTTATGTAGTTATCCTCAAAAAAAACCTAGTGTTTATAAAATGTGTCTTGGAATTTGCATTAGTAAAGGAAAAGGATCTGCATTTTATAAGCCCACAATCACGGGGGATATGAATAACATAAATAAACGTGTCATCTGCTGGCGGGACATTTAGTACCGAACACCTTTCATCTTTGCAGGGATATGCCACTCTGATGATTTCGGATGATGGTCTGTCTACAAAGCCGGGCCGATTTTCACCAAATCTGTCCTTGTGACGCGGACAGAACGAACATGCCAAGATATGCCTAGAAATCGAGTCCTCCTTGGGGGCCAGGGATCAACAAAAAACAAAAATGAAACAACAACAACAAATATATATATATATATATGTTTTTCTGGGGAACAACAGTCAAGAAAAAAACAAACATGAATCCAAAAACTAAACGGACCGGCGCACTGGTTGTCTGTCCTCCCACCCCCGCGAGCCAGGGCGTGGAAGGTCCAAGGTCAAGTTGCATCTGACCTCTCACTTTGGAGAGGGAAAGAGCAGTGGGCCTGGTCGGCCTTGCTGCTTCCAAGAAAACGGGCATGTCTTTGCTTGCCCAGGTGGTGCTAAAGGACCGCTCTGTCTTCCTCTTGCCATTCAACCACATGTTGAGCTTGCAACGTCAGCAGAGCAGGCTGGTGCCGGAACTGAGTATACATTGCAGATGGTTTCGAAAGTAGTCTCGAAGGCTTTGTTCTACCGCATAGGAGCGGTCTTCATAGAATTCCTTTTTTTAGGGCCTCTCGCCTCCAATCTATAGAGGGAATTCACCGTTCCTGTGGCCTTACCTGCAGCAGATCTTCCAAGTGTCGCAAGGCCCTCCGGAAGTTACTCAAATTCCACAGCATGTCGAAGAACCGGAGGAAACTTTGACGAGACAATGCTAGGTGGGCAATGAAGCTGAAGGGTATGTTGACAATCCAGCAACAGCTCCATCCCTCCTGGTGTAGCCACATCCGGCCTGTCCGTCTGGAAACTGCCTGACGGCCATTGCAGTTGAGTCGCCCAAAACACAACTCCAGTACTAAAGCCAGTGCCCCAGAGACTGTATCTCAGTGCTGGTGCTTGATAGTGCAGGTGGGAAAATATGCGAATCTTGTCAAGCAATAGAAGAAAAAAGCGATGTTTCCGGCTGTACGGGATCTTGCGACGGGGCTTGCTGGAGTAGGTGTTTCCTGAGTCATCCCAGGTCACAGAAAAGGGCAAATTGGGCTTGCACTCCGTGGCGTTCAATTGCTTCTTTGGCTGCCTGGTCAGCAGCTTCATTGCCCAACTTCAAAAGATTGAGCCATGTGGGAGGCCCAGGTTGAAGCTGATGTGAACGAACCTTGGTGAGGACAACATCATATCCTGGTTGTCGCTGAAGACGGTATAGTTGGCTCAGCAAATCAAAATTAGCTAGGGATTGACAGTGGGCCAAATCCACTTGCTGGAGCAGCATGTGATGTTGATCAATCACATATTCGGAATCCGTAGCCACTTCCACTTGAGGGCAGTGTTTGATAGCCAGTTCGGATCGAGGAATTGTCTGCAGACCTTGGTTTGGAGTAGCCAACATCATCACAAAGGCTGGGGAGATCTTCTAAGTGGCAAAATAGGTGTTGAAGGGGGCGCTACGGAGCCTTCAGCCCCTGCACTCCGGTTCCACCAGGTATCTTTGTCAAAGATACTCCAACTGTCGAAAGACCACTGGGACCCTATCCATGGCGGTGATTGAATAAACCAGAAATGTACCCAATCTGAAGGAATACCAAGGTGCAGCATGGCTTCAGCTGCTGGTTCTCGGCCAATCAAATTGAAAGCCTTGGTGTAAGGTCAAGGTGAGACCGCCCATGGACAGACTTCCACTGAAAGGAAAGCATAGAATTGGCCAGAGACCTCCCTGGCAAAAATCCAATGACCTGAAAAGGAAATTTGGCTGCCCAATATTGAAGGATCTTGACAGTTGCGACTCGGCCCCATAGGCGATAGAGCAGGGACAAAACTGTATTCGAACGTGTCAACTTAGGACAATTTGGTTCCATTGTTTTCCCAAGGAATAGCGCGGGCCCTCATCAGGTAAGCTGGCATAGAA